CCTGCGTCGTGTCCCCGGACGTCCGGCACAGGACGTGCACCCCGCACGGTGCCGGCCCGGGAGACAGGGGTCGTATTTTGAGGAGCACCTCCCAGGACCCCCCCAGAGATCTCCGGGCGTCGGGAAGGGGGAACGATTTCAGCCCCTTTCCCAGGTCTTCCACGCAGCAGCCCGAATGCCTCTACCCGTCCTTGCGGCTTCCCTGTAATGACTGCTTCTCTCCTTCAACTCAGCGGTTCCGTCGCTGTCGTGAAATCGACACCTTTGTTCAAATAAAGAAGAAAAGAAAAAAGCATGAGGTGGAGTGGGTCGTGAGGAAAGCTGGCCAAGCGGCCTGGGATACCCTGGGGCCCTCGTGCGTGCGCAGCACTGGCCCGCCTGGGTCCACTGCCTACCTCTATCTCTCAGCCCCAGCCCGCGCTCAGCCACACCGCTTTAAGGTTCCCTCTATCTCTTCCTCTTCCACACCCTGTCCTCTCTTGGACAAGCCTGGAGAGAGAAGGCCTTTGCCTAGAAAGCAGCATCGGATTGAGGGCTGGGTTCCCATGGGGTGCTGGGGAGAGCTGCTAAGCTCGAGCCCCCTGGCTGCAGAAGATCACTTGGTTAAATTGCTGCACGCTTCATTTCCAGGCTTTGGCCAGTAACGGAATCATTAACCACACAGGGCTGTTTAATTAGATGCAGCAGTTGGGGAAGGCCCCTCCAAAGCCCTTCTTTCCTCCCTGACTCCTCGTTTAGAGGACATTAATCAGGAACGGTGGGCCTGCCTGGAGTCTGGAGAAGGGATGTGAATGTCCCAAAAAGCAGACCTTGAGACAAGGGCTGGTGTGCAGGCTGCTTGTGTTGGAAAGTGGTTTCAGGGGATGAAAGCCAGTACCAGGGTGCATTCTGAAGTTGCTGGGCACTAGGGGCTGCTGGGACTTGATCCTGCTAGGAGCTGGATAGAGTGCATCCAAGACCCAAAGAGGGGACTGCCATACCACAAAGGACCAAAAACTAGGTGGTTTAAAACAACAGAAATGTATTCTCTCACAGTTCTGGAGGTTCCAAGTCCAAAATCAAGGTGCTGGCAGGGCCACACTCGCTCTGAAGGCTCTAGGGGAAGGTCCTTTCTTGGCCTCCTCCTAGCTTCTTGGTGGCTCCCAGCAATCTTTGGTGTTCCTTGGTTTGTAGCTGCATCATTCCAATTTTTGCCTCTGTCTTCATGCGGCCTTCTTCCCCTTGTGTCTCCCTGTGTCTGTGTCCAACTTTTCCTCTTCTTATAAGGACACCAGTCATTGGATTAGGGCCCACTCAAATTCACTGGGACCGCCTCTTAACTTGATTACGTCTACAAAGACTAATTCCAAATAAGGTTGCATTCACAGGTACCAGGGATTGGGACTTGAACTTTTTGGAGGACATAATTCTACCCACTTCACATAGCCAAGTCCAGAGTCAAGGCCTGCAGAAATAGACTCTGCCTCCTGATGGGAGAAGCAACAAAGTCACATTGCATAGGAATGGGAGTGCCTGTACATACACGAACAAATGGAAGGACTCTGTGGTCATTTTCTCATTGACCATACCCTCCTCCCTTCTAGATTTCTCCCACCCTCAGAAAGCATCTCCACTGGTCTAGATTATTTTCCTGGAGGACTGAACCAGATCTTTTTTTTTTTTTTTGGTGAGGAAGATCAGCCCTGAGCTAATATTCATGCCAATCCTCCTCTTTTTGCCGAAGAAGACTGGCCCTGGGCTAATATCCGTGCCCATCTTCCTCCACTTTATATGGGACGCCGCCACAACATGGCCTGGCAAGCGGTGCATTGGTGGGCACCCGGGATCTGAACCCGGTGTCAGGGGAAGAGGGAGGATCTCCCTCTGCCCTTTTCCTTAAGGTTCTTATGGCTGGCCAAATAATTAACAAGACAGGTTAGCAGGAGAAAATAATACCAAGTTTAATAACATGTATACATGGGAGAAACTCAGAAATGAGCAACTAG